GGCTCAGATTAATCACTTCCCTCCAGCCCAGACAGCTGGAAGTAGAGCACTAAGCTTTTCCCAAGTGTTTGAAGTGAAGATTTCACTGGCGCATCAGAGCAGGGCTGGATCTCACGGGTTTGATGAGCAGCCCCCAGGCTTGCTGCCTGGCACAGCCCTTGGGGGAGAAGTAGGGGCCAGTGTTTGTCCTGGTATTTGTCTGAGACATCTCAGGCCTTACAGATGCACTAGTTTAGCCCTTCCCTATGTCTTCTGAAGCTGAGCAGTGCTTGGAGCAGCCCAAACTCTCCCACCGACCTACCAGGAGCCATCACCAGCCATCAGCACAGGACTGTGCACTGCCATCTGAGGCTCACCCCTCCCAGCCAAACAACCACAAGGCTGGCAGAGAGCTAGCAGACCTGGATACTGCACAGATTTTCACCAGCCAGATACTGCAGAACGTTGGGGAAGACAAGAGCCATCAGCAATTTCTGCTAGTTTTGCCTTTAAGAAACAAGAAATTTGCTTCCAGGAGGAGGCAGGAGCACTAGCAGATATTAAGGCACATGCATTCATTCCAGATGAATGCCTGAGCTTTCCATGTAACACAGCACAGTGCTGGAGGCTGCAGAAGCAGTCAGCACAGCCCTCCTGCCTTGGCCAGGGTGCCGTACATCCATGGCACAGCCAACCTCAGGTCCAAAGCACCTATCTGAACGCTCATGGCCCGTTCTGCAGGGGGTGTGACTGAGGGGCTTCTAGTGAGACAAAAAAAGCAAAGAACTGTCTCACGTAGCAACTAGAGCTTCCTAACAGGAGCAGACATCACAGATGCAGCCTATTGCAGCAGAGAAGAGGCAGTGAGTGGCACTATCACTCTCCTCAGCGTGTCCTCACTGCAGCAACAGGGCAAACTGAAACTGTATCCAGACAAGAGAATTCGCTCAGTAGAAAACAGGAAGCACTTGGTAAATTATTTTAAAAAACAAACAGTTTCACTTTGAATGCAAACCATTAGATTACTCTTCTGTCTTTACATTCTTTTTACTCTAGTTAACTCCCACGTCTCTTTTTGCTTTAAAATGCATTCAAAATCTTATTGTCACATGCAAAGTTTCATCTCCCATCTGTGGAGTGGTGACCGAGCAGATCTCTTTTAAATAAATTCAAACACGGATCTGTACAGTAAAGCAAACTTACCAAAAACTCATCTGCAAATGCTTCTTGGTTGAGCTTCTTGCTCTGGGCTCTTTCCAGGTTCTGCAGCAGGATTTCCCTTTGGTCCATGCTGGAAGAGATGGAGCGAGGCTGGCCTGCCGAGAGCAGGAGCGAACATGTCAAGTGCAAGTCACAGCGGAAAGCACCAGCGCGCAGAGCACTCGCTGCAGGCTGTGGTTTACTGACTTCATCATCAGCCTTAAAGGAAATTAGTGCGTAACAGATACCGTGGCCAAACAACAAAACAAAACACAGCTCTGGGCCCTAGTGCCTCCATGTAGAACCACGCGTGCTCGTGGCTGCGCGACACAGAGGGTCAGGAGCTGGGGGCCAGAGCTGGGTGCCCCACACCTGGGTGCTCCGACTGCTGAGAGCCTCCTGGAGCCTCATGAACACACAACAGTATGGGATCTTTGTCGGGACGCTTGTCTGAGTCGTGGCATCCCAAGCCCACTTTCATGGCCACATTTATGAGAAACGCAAGAAGAAAAACAAATAACAGCAAACATTTATTCCTTTTTATTTGTAGTGATACAGAATTTCTTTACAAATTATGGTTCTTCTAGCAATCTCCTGAAGAAATACAAAAGCAATTGTCCCAGTTAAATCAATGAAAATCCCAGCTTCACATTCTGGAAGGATGTCTCTCAGTTGTCCAACTTCTCCTGGAAACAAACAAACAAAAAAACCAACCCTTGTGTGTATTTTAGAGGAAAGATTTCAGGTGGGTCTGAAGTTGCTGGCAGAACAGGAAAGATGCAGGAAGGCAAGGCACGCTTTGCATCTTCCACTGCAACCTCTCCCAGCCTGACTGCATTGTTCCACCAATAAAACACACCAGGTGGTGTCCATAGAGCTACATGAGCAGGAAAGTGCTTTTTGTATGAATAATCCCCAGTACTTTGATTCCAAACTAATGCAGCAAGCTTAGCTCCCAAGGCACTGTGATAAGGAATTAACTCCTGACACAGAGAAGCAGATGGGAAGTTTGGTGCTGACTTCAGTAGATCTTCACCAAGGCATTGTGCAAAGCTGTTTGCACAGCTACTTGCAGTGTTAGCTGATGAGTGGGTTTGAGAGCAGATGCCAGGCAGAACAGCACATAGGAAAGCTCAGAGAAACAAAGGAATGGAGCCAGCAATGCTCAGGCACACAGGACCACAAACTTCACATGCTTACCCATCCTCCACGGGTCTCAATGTAGTTTTTCACTTGAGCATTTTCATTAATTGCTTTTACGAGGTGACCAGGATTGACATTAGCAGCTCCTTTCTTAAGAATATACATCATCAGTTTCACAGAAACAGAGAGAAAAGCTCTCTCATAGACCAGCTCAGGGTTCTGGTCACTCCACCTTTTGCAGAGAGAATCCACAGCAGCCCCAAATTTCTCCATCTGCAAGCATCAAGAGGGCAGTTTGAGCTTCTTCTTTTTAAGAGATAGCGTAATAAGCAAGTCTTGGCTCTCAATCAACATTCAGTTAAATTCTTGTATTTATTTACTGTATTCACAACTGGAGCAGGTGTCCCCCACCTCCTGGTGGTACCCACGCAGCACAGGACGCCCAAGGCAAGGCTCTCTCCTTACTATGGCTTGTACAAATGAGAGCAGTGGGAAGCATGTCTGCAGACCTAGGCAGGACAGCTTTAACCAGAGCTGCAGAGAACCTTAAACTAGAACTACAAGCAGAACACGCACCAAAACTGTGCTGGCTCTGACTTCTGGGCAAGCTGAAGCCCTGCTCCCTGGAGCACACCGTCTCCTCTCTTCAGTCTTTCTCTTAAAACAGCATTTGCCCCCTCACCAGCCCTAAACTGCATCTTATCTCCTGCAACGACAGGTCAGCCTGTGCAGTGCCAGGTCCTTGGAATCAGCTCCTTTGGAAGAGACAAGGACAAAAGTTGTGAGAGGTCAGTGACCTGGATAAAGGCAAAGAACCAAGCGGGTCCTGCTGGCAGGCTGCTGGCTGCCACGTCCCTTTTCCTCAGGCATCCCTGCCTCCTACAGCATAAGATGCATTCCTCCCTAGGCTTTTGCTGTTCTCCAATACAAGAAGAGCTGCAGGCTGGCCTACAAGCAAAGAGCAGCCCTGGGCCAGGCGGGATGAGGTGTTCTTTACCTTCCCCATGAGTACTTCATGAAGAACCTGTGAGGAAACCCTTTCAAAATCCATGTTGCACTGATCGCCGATCTGCCGCAGACGACTGGCAATAATAACGGGGTCGAAACCACCTGGCTCTTCCTCAGACTGCATGGACCCTGAAACAAGGAAAGGAGGGAGCAGGCTGGGGGGTTAGGGTGTAATGCACAGCAAGGCAGAGAAGAGAGGAAGGAATAAGGCAGAGCCAAAGAGCGATCCAAACTTGGGAAGGTTTTCAAAGGCACACTGCGCAGATTTCAGGCTCATAAAAGCATTAGAACTTCTCAGCTCAGCTTCTTAAAGTGGGGTTATTGCTTTTTTTTTTTTTTTTTTCCCTCTGTTAAAAAATTTTCCATAAAAATATGCCAAGATAAAAAGGTTTTGGTTTTCTTTGTTCTGAATGTTCAGCCTGAAGGAGGTACCCGTCACCGAGAACTTCAGCAGAAGTATTTCCAAGCTTCACAAAGCCATAAGGAACTGAAAACAGGACCTTTCAACAGAGTAACGTGCACCCTGCTCTCCTGCAGCACATCCTGCCCCGCTGCCCAGGCTGGAGCTGCAGGCCCGCAGGGACATCCCACACCTGGGTGCAACTCATCTGCCCCAGAGGAAGGAAACCAGGCGGGGGCTGATGGGGACTTTGCCCCCACGTCCCACCAAGGCAGGCTGCAGCTGTGGTCTCTGTGGGCTTCTGACAGCCCCACCCCACTTTAACTTATCCTCCAACACGGACACAACTTGGAGCTCATCACAAGATAAAAAAACCCCAACACCTGGCACCAAGCTGCACCTCCTGCCTTTACATCTCTCCGGCATCCTCAGCAAGAAGGATCTGCACTGAACTGCAGGCCTCACCTCCTGAGTCTGTCTGCAGGCATCGGAAATCGGCTTCATCCTCGTTTAGGAGATCATCAAATAAGGCTTCCACAACACATGCTGTCTGCTCCTCAAAAGTCCTCATGGCAGACAGGAATGCCTCCCAGCCCTCGGGCTGAGCAGCGCCTCTGAATGCTACCCTCCTTTTCCCGTCCTTCCGGGAGCAGCATGGCTGCAGGCCCCTCCTGAGGGCTGCACAACCTTTGCCCTCAACCATGATTACTCAAACTACAGGCGTGGCTTAGTTTCAGAATAAGGCATTGCCATGGAGATAAAATTAATTGAAGAATTACATGAAGCCAAGGATCATCGTTGACTCATTCATTTATCAGGAAAGGTACCTGGACAGAAGGTAGATCTTGAAGTCCTACCCCAGATCAGCACCCATGCAGTGCAGCCACAGCTGAGTGAAGGGTTGCTTGCCAGCAAGCCATCAAGGTGAGGCTTGTCGAGTAAAACCTGCCTCAAATGAGTGCTGCAAAGGACTCCCCCAAATGCATGTGTTGTATTCCTGTACTTAAAGAGACTGGAAAATGGTATAGGAAACCTACTACACTCAACTTCCTTTATCTACATTTCACTTCACTCCTAGATAGTTTGGGTATTACAATAACTTGGCACGCAAGACTGAAATAAATTATTGCACAACTGCTTTTTAAAGGTTTTCTTAAGAGAAGTGGAGAGAAAAAGTTCTGTGTAAAATGAAGGCGGGATCTGCTGTGACCACGTGAATCCATCCTGCAGAGCTCAGGCAGGAGTCCTGTGAACAAACACTCCAGAAAGCAGCCAGGAATGATTCACCTCTTTATTGGAAAATCAGAAATGAAATTTAAGACTTGTCTGACAGGGGCAGCAGCGAATCAGTGAAGTGCATTCAGAGATACAATACAGTCGTTTGGAGAAATTAAGCACTGCGAGATCATTTAGAGAATAGGGTTAACAAAGCCATGCCTTGCCCTGCACAATAGGCACCACAACAATAACCTGCAACCTTAAGCCAGGGAATTTTCCTTTGGTTTTGCCATTGTACAGAACGCTCAGTGGAGTGGAACACATAGCACAGCTGGATCATTTCCTGTTTCTTTCTGTGTCCTGGCCAAAAGCTACTGTAGTGGGAAGAGTGAGAGCTGGGGCTGACCAGGTGAAACTTTCTGTCCTTCCTTATGAGAACGATGCAATGGTTTTTGAATTAATTACAATTCTCACAAAAAAAAAGAATAACAGAAAAAAAACCACCACCAAACCTGTCCAAAACACTGCCCTGAATTTTGCTCACTTCTGGTTCCATCAGTCACACTGGTGTCTTGTGACAATCACGGCAGGTGCCAGCATTTCTGACTTAGATCAGCAGCAGCAGGCTTGCACACATTATTATCCTGTCCTTTCCCCAGCCCAGGGGAAGATGCCCTTTACCCTATCCTGCTCACCAGCCTCAGTAGCTCAGCACCAGCAGCACTGAGCTGCAGCTGTAGCTCTCCTTTGCCCAATGCTGACAACACTTCTACAATTCAGAAATACAAAACTTGCATCAAGAATGGTGAACTGAAGGCAGAGGAGAAAACTCTTCCTATGACCTGAGCAATCACCACACAAGGAACAGAGACCCTTCAGGATCTGAGCCCAGCAACTGCCTCCACAGCAGTCCTGAACACAGACATGAAGGCCTGCAGTGCCTCAGGCTTTGCCTCACTCTGCTTCACTGCAACCTGCATCCCTGAATCTTCTGCCTCGAGCAATAGCTCTGTCAGGAAGAGGCAACCACTGTCATCCTGAGCAATGAAATAAGCTTTCCATGGCTGGACACCAGCTTTGCTCATAGCAATGGTCCGGATGTGGACGACGTGAAGAGCAGTCTGGATAGTATCTGGATGAACTGTTCCAATCCAGGGCAGAGACTGCTGGCAGCCAACATCCAGGCTCAGCCAGGTCTTCTCAAACTGTTCTGCAGTCAGGGCGACATCAGGAATTAAGGTAAGGCTGCCTGTATCAGGATGAACCTTGAGGACTTCCTTACTCCCTTCAGAAATCAGTGACTCTGAAATCAAAGCATAAACAAATGAGATGCAGTTTTTATTCCCCTATTACCAGTTTCACACAGAACATCCCAGGGGGCCATCAGATGAAGGCTGGAATTACAGCACCCTCAGCAGCAGCCTCTCTGGGCTAATGGGGCGGTGATCAACCAGGCATTGCACAAGATATTAAGAACACTGAAGTGTTCTCAAAGCACTGTGGTCTTTTTCCAAAGGAACTCACGTGAGGATGTCTACTGACAAGAGGAAACTGTGAGGGTGATGCTGGTTACCTGTGCCCCCGTTCCCAGAGTCTGTACAAGGAGAAAAAGCGTAACAGGGCTCCCCTGGCTGGTGAGCAGTGACAAGTGCCCAACGTGCTTTGCCATAAATAGGTGCGAGGGTGTTGAACTCAGATGCCCACGTATTCACAGGTTGTTCTGTTTGGTCCTCCAGGAGCCCCAGGGAAGGGTCTGACTTGGGGCTGCACAGAACCCGTTTCACTTCATCCACACCGGACTGTAAGAGGCGATAGTAGAACAGCCCACGGTCTCGTACTGACATATCTTTCTCCTCCTCTGCAAATTTGAGCAACAGATTGTAGAGAATTTGAGCATTCAGATTTTTCCCCGGATTTCATGACCCCTAAATACTAAAAATCCATTCCCAGGGCTACAGTGTAAGCCTGTCACACTCACCTATCAGGGACAAGACGCAGCCTAATGCATAAAACTACATCACTTTGCCACCCTCGATGGTCATTGCAAGGATGCTGACACTGCATCAGTGCACCGGGGACGCGTCAAAAACAGGCGCCCAAAAGCCTGTACTACTGCTGCAAGAGGAAACCCACCTATGCAGTGATAGAGCAGCCTCCCCAGCATGTCCTGACACTCAGCAGGACGAGACAGGAAAAGTCGCACCAACGCTGTCAGGAGCTCCATCTTCACTGCTGGGAACACCTCTGTTTTCACATTCTCCACCAAGTCCTCTAACACATAGGGGGCGTTTGGAACTTTCTCACCATGTGCACCAAGGAGCCAGATCAGTGCTTGCTTCCCCTGAAGGCACCAAAAAAGAGCACATTCTGTCTCACAGGACAGCTATATTAACAGTGTTGACATGAAATCAAGAGACACGAGAACAAATCTAAAGCCACCTTACCTCACTGTCCTGGATGATGTCCTCACAGCCAGGCAGTGCCTGACACACTGCATCTGTGCACTGGGGACACAGCCAAACCAGGTCCCGAAAAGCCTGTACTACAGCTGCAATGAAACAGAATTCTCAGTATTCCCCAAGAATTATAAAACCATTAGGTAAAATAAGTAAAAATAAAACATAAATGAAAAAAAAAAGAGTCAAAAGACTTTGCGAAGTTTTAGCTAGGGAGGTCATGACTATGATTTGAGACACTCTCCTTCAAAATCCCAATATGCTGCCCCTGTCAGAGCACAGTTACACCACGCTTAAAATAAAGTACTGAAACTTCATATTGTTCCTCTTGCTTCTGGAAAGTAATCTTCCTTTTGGACATTCCCCAGCCTTTAGAGACTGACTCACGATGTCTCAGGCACACAAGGTTAGAAAAACAAACTGAAGCTAACACCAATTCAAAATGCATCACATGAACTTTAGCCCAAAATGTTAAAGGCTCTGTTGCACCCTTACAGAAACTCCAGCAGCTATTAATGCCCAATTCAAGAGCTGACTGTAAGCATGTGACTTTGAAAGCTGAAAGCAAGAGCATTACAAAGAGGGCAGAAATAGCTAAGGGAAGTTAGATCTGAGGACAGCAGAAGAAAAAGGCAGAAGTCTGGGTTGAGTTGAATCCGACTGTTACATGAGGAAAAGAAATCAGGAAGATTTAAAAGACAGAAACTAGGAGAACCAGCCAGAAAGAACTCAAAATTAGACCTATTAACCATCAGGGCCTTCACAAAGAGTTAATAAAATGCCTCTGCCTTCATCCCTTGGAGTCAACAGAAGGCAGCCAGAAAAGAGCCTCCATATCGTATCTGACCAGGAGCGCAGCCATCACCATCTCCAAGGAAGAAAACCTACAATGTCCGGTCACATTCCACATCCCCACACAACCAGGAGACTTCTACCTGGAGACACCAAGTAAATTAAATGTCAGGTGCCTCCTAGAGCCTCAAGTTTTGGGACCACAAGCCTCAGCAAAGCCACTTCCTGGGAGCTTAAGCCATGCAAATAACACGAAGATGATTACCTGACGTGATGTGCTCCTGTTGAAGCCCCAAGAGCTCTGTCAGAATCCCCACGCACTGTTCTGTGTATGTCCTAGCAATACTGCCTGCAGAGACAACAACAAGGATACGAGTCAACCACGAGCCCAACTATTCATCACAAACTCATTTTAAAGAAACAGCCGTCTTCTCTCTTTTTTGACTATTTTCTGACAGTCAGGTGAGCACATATTCTCACACAAGGCACACGTTCCTTTTTCTGAAGCCATACCTCTGAGAAAGTCTGCATTTTTCTTAACAGAGCAATGAGAAAAACATTTTAGCATCCCTGGCTTTCTCCTAAAGAATGCTATAAAAACTTACACATTTTCGAGATTGAAGAAATGAACCAAACTGCCCCAAATCACCTGAACTCTGCCTCCACCACAACTCAAACAACAAGCAAGTATTAAAGCAGCTCATCCACCCGCTACAGTTCCACTAAGACTCAACACCATCAGGCTCATTTAAGATGAAATTATTTAATTCAACCTTCCCATTCACTTGTTTATTTGGAGCATCTCCTCAGAGTGTTGACATCTGAAAAAGATTGAAGGCATTATATGCAGCTCAGCACCGGGACGACTGGATGAACCAGCATCCTCATGGTTTATAAACACACACAAAACATCCCTGGGGAGCAGGATTGACCTGGGGCTTCAGCACAGATCAGTTATTTGGAATGCATGCAGAAATACTTCAGCAGAGAAAGGCCGACCTTAAGACTGAGGGCTGCAGCTGCTTCTGAAGCAAGGCACAGCTCTCACCTATGGCAGAGATCGCCCCCTGGGCCAGCTCCACTGATACATCAGTGCAATAGCCCTTCAGCTCTTCCAGCACTTGTTGCACATTCTCATCATTCACCAGCTCGCACAACACTTCCATCTTCTGGCATTTGATGTAATGGGGTTCTGAATACGAGCAGAAGAACTTTTTGTAGTGGCTGCTAAAATGGCCAGGAAGACTCCCGAGGATCTGACGCACGTGGCACAGCGCAGTGAAGCAGAGCTCCCTGCTCTCCGAGGTGCAGGCAGCCAGCAGTGGCCCCTTCACCCTCACCAAAACATCTGCCTGCACGTGTGGGTACTCCTTGGCCAGCACGAGGAAGAGCTTGGTGGCTGCCATCACAACGCTGGGGCTGCTGCTTTTCAGATACCCATCCAGCAGATTGAGAATGTTGAACAGCTCCTCCTCAGTGCGGGGTCTGTAACGCAGAAGGAAGGCAAGCACCTCGCTTTGCCCCCACTGATCCAGGTCAGCCATCCTGCCAAGGAAATAAACACCGTTTGCAGGAGTCAGGGAGTGCGTAAGGATCTGTGCTGTGCAGAGTGCAGGCTGCAGCCCTTAGGTTGCTACAGTCTCCACTCCCATCAAACACTGTGGTTTTTTTTGTGAGACCACAATTCCATCCAGAAAGGACCAACCAATGTACATGTTATAGGCTTAACTCAGTGTCAATCACATGCACTTTTGCTGACGTAGAGCTTAGAGAGACAGAGAAACACCAACAAGATCCCTGGACACAGCAGCACCTTGCTTTTCCAGATCATTTTGCTACACATAGGGAAAAAAGTTGGTATCTGCAGATGATATATATGTCATGTATCTTAAAAGTGATTGGGAGAAACAAACCAGAACATCCTTGTACCACAATACATCACGTGCAGTGCCATGATTTTAAAGGATAATCGCATTAACTTACAACTCCAAGCAAAGCAGCGGCTGAAGCAGACTCTCTGGAAAAGCTGGGCGCTAAGATTTCCTCTTAAGACCTTAGCACAAAAACGACTGATTTGCTTTTAGGATGGGCACCTTCACCTTTAGGGTGTCTGACATTTCCAGTTCTGATGGGAGCCCAGAAGCACTCACTGCTATCTGTACGAAATGCAACAGACAGAAGCAGGCTTCCAGTGCCACCTCTGATACGGAAGAAGACAAACCTGTTGAGGAGATGATGGGCAATAGGTTTGTTGATGACAACTCCTCCCTCTTTCTTCAAGATCTCTTCCAAAGCCCTCAGACAGTTCACCACCACAATAGGGTCCTGGTCACGAAGCAGGCTGTACAACTCATTCACCAATGCACCGTCTGCAAAGAAGCAAAAGTGCTGCACCAATATTCTCACTCTACAGCAGCCTTTGGCACAGCCACGTGGAAGGACGTGTGATGGGACGGCGTGATGCCAGCCCTCGGCTCCCCACCATGCTCAGCCCTGGGCTATTTCCCTCCTCCTGCCCATGACCTTGCAGTGGCCCAGGGAGCCCAGGACAGCCCAGACCAACCTGCCATGTCCCTCCATGCTCAGCGACAGCGCAGTGCCTGCCAGCTCACCCACTTCGGTGTCTCCTTGCAGCCTGTGCACCTTGGCACAGCCTAGCACAGCAATCCTGCGCACGTAGGAGGCTCTGTCCCGAAGGCCATTCAGGAGGGGCTGCTGCACATATTCCTGCATGCCGGGCAACCTGTGGACAACAGGGACGGGTCACACAGAATCACAGAATGGCCCAGGTTGGAAGGGATCTCAAGGATCACGAAGCTCCAACCCCCTGCCGCACGCAGGGCCACCAACCTCCACATTTCATAGCAGCCCAGGCTGCCCAGGGCCCCATCCAACTGGCCTTGAACACCTCCAGGGATGCACGGGGCATCCACAGCCTCTCTGGGCAGCTGTTCCAGCACCTCACCACTCATAGTAAAGAACTTCCCTCTGACATCCAACCTCAATCTTCCCTCCCTCAACTTCAAACCATTTCCCCTTGTCCTGCTGTCATCTCCCCTTTCCAAGAGTTGATTCCCCTCCTGTTTGTAGGCTCCCTTTAGGTACTGCAGGCTGCAATGAGGTCACCCCACAGCCTTCTTTTCTCCAGGCTGAACAAGCCCAGCTCCCTCAGACTGTCCTTGTAGGGAGGTGCTGCAGCCCCCTGATCATCTCTGTGGCTCCTCTGGACCCTCTCCAACAGCTCTCTGTCTTTCTTGTACTGGGGGCTCCAGACCTGGACACAGCACTGCAGGTGGGGCCTCACAAGAGCAGAGCAGAGGGGGACGATCACCTCCCTGTCCCTGCTGGCCACCCCTCTGCTGATGGAGCCCAGGATCCCATTTGCTTTCCGAGCTGTAATCACGCACTGCTGGCTCATGTTAAGCATTTCATCCATCAGGACCCCCAGGTCCTTCTCTGCAGGGCTGCTCTCAAGGACTGCTCCTTCCAGTCTGCACAAATGCCTGGGATTCCTACGGCCCAAGTGCCAAACTCTGCACACTGTTGTATTCAACATCATTAGATTCACCCAGGCCCACTTTTTGAGTTTGCTGAGGTCCCTCTGAACGGCATCCCTTACTTCCACCGTGTCAACTGCACCACTCAGCCTGGTGTTGCCAAGGGCGCACTCTCCATCATCCATCTCATTGATAAAGATGCTAAAGAGCTCCGGTCCCGAGACAGAGCCCTGGGGGACGCCACTCACGGGGTCACTGAGGGCCCTTCCTCAGAGCGAGGGCTGAGTGCTGCCGGGACAGGAAATACGGGACAAGCGTAGAGATGACAGAGGAGAGCCCGGATCCCCGCACCCACCTGAGGTCGCAGAGTCCTCGCAGCGCCAGGCCGCGCACGGCAGGGCTGGGATCGGCGCAGTCCCGTCGCAGCGTGTTGACAGCCAGCAACGCCAAGCGGGGCATGCGCGGGGCGTGCGCGCACACGTACAGCTGCACCAACTTCTTCTGCACCACGTCGGCCGCCGCGCCCGCCTTCACCATCTCCGCAAACAACCCCGACACGTCCGCGCCCTGCGTCATGAGCCTGCGGCAGACACGGCGCGGCCGTCAGCTGGCCCCGGCCCTCGGCTGACCCCCTCCCTCCCGCCGCCCCGCGCCGCTCCGCCCCGCACCGGATGACTCGCAGCACGGCGGCGCGGTACCGCAGCGGCTCCGCCTGGACGTGCGGGTTGCTCAGCGCGCGCCGCAAATCGCGCAGCACCTCCTCGCCGCCCAGGTACGGCATGGTCGCACGGCCCCCCGCTCCGCTCGGCTCCGCGCCCCACCGCGCACGCGCCGCCCCTCCCCTTCCCTTCTCTCCCCTTCGCTCCCGCGCGTGCGCGACGTCGCGCGCCGAATTCGGCGGGAATCGGCGGCGGCGCCGCCTTCGTCCGCGCGCTCCCCGCGCCCCGGCGCCATGAACGGGACGGTGATTCCCGGCACGCCCATCGCCGTGGATTTCTGGAGCGTGCGGCGGGCGGGCGGCGCGCGGCTGTTCTTCCTGTCGCACATGCACTCGGACCACACGGTAGGGCTGTCCAGCACCTGGAGCCGCCCGCTGTACTGCTCGCCGCTCACCGCCCGCCTGCTGCACCACCGCCTAAAGGTACGTCCTGTCCTGTCCAGTTCCGTCCTGTCCCATCCCGTTCCCCCCGGTCCTCACGCCCGCCCGCCCGCAGGTGCCCACACACTGGATCCGCCCGCTGGAGGTGGGGCAGAGCCACGTGGTAGGCGAGGAGGTGACCGTGACGCTGCTCGATGCCAACCACTGCCCCGGCTCCGTCATGTTTCTCTTCGAGGGCTCCTTCGGCACCATCCTTTACACAGGTACGGGGAGGGAAACGCGGTCGCTCCGCCGCCCCGCCCGCCCTGACGGCCCTGTTCTGCAGGGGATTTCCGCTACAGCCGCGCCATGCAGCGCGAGCCAGTGCTGAGCGGCCGCCGCATCGACCGCCTCTACCTGGACAACACCAACTGCCGGCCGCAGCGCGCGCTGCCCTCCAGGAGCCGGGCTGCGCACCAGGCCGCGCAGCTCATCCGCCAGCACCCGCAGCACCGCGTCGTCATCGGTGAGTGCAGCCCAGAGCCGTTCCTGCATCTCCCCCTGGTATGCCGTGGTGCTGAGGTTCAGTAGGGTAAAGTGTTGGATCCTGCATTTTGGTCACAGCAACCCCAAGGCAAGCCTACAGGCTTGGGGAGGAGTTTTTGTCTGGAAAGCTGCCTAATGGAAAGGGACCCTGGTGTGTTGAATGTGAGCTAGCAGTGTGCCCAGGTGGCCAAGAGGGGCAATGGCATCCTGGCTTGGATCAGGAATGCTGTGGTGAGCAGAACCAGGGAAGTCATCCTGCCCTGTACTCAGCACTGGTGAGGCCTCACCTCAAGTGCTCTGTTCAGTTTTGGGCACCTCAGTACAGAAAGGACATGGAGGTGCTGGAGCAGGGCCTAAGAAGGGCAGCGAGGCTGGGGAAGGGCTTGGAGATCGTGGCCTGTGAGGAGAGACTGAAGGAGCTGGGGCTGTTTGATCTGGGGAAGAGGAGGCTGAGGGGGGAGACATTGTTGCTCTCTTCCAATATCTGAAAAGTGCTTACAGCAAAAGGGGTTGGTCTCACTGGTGACAGGAAATGGCCTCAAGTTGCACCAGGGGAGGTTTAGGTTGGATATCAGGAAAAACTACTTTGCAGAAAGGGTTGTTAAGCACTGCAATAAGCTGCCCAGGGAGGCGGCTGAGTCACCATCCTGGATGTGTTTAAAAAACATTTGTATGTGGTGCTCAGGGATGTGATTTAGCAGAGGTTTATTAGTTAGGGTAGTATGGTTAGGTCGTGGTTGGATTCGATGATCTTTAAGGTCTTTCCCAACTTAAGTGATTCTATGATTCTTTGACGGCTCTCCTGCAGGTGTGTACAGCCTGGGGAAGGAAGAGCTGCTGGTGGACCTGGCGCTCGAGTTCAGCACGTGGGTCGTGGTGAGCCCCTCACGCCTGGAGCAGATGCGGCTGCTGGAGCTGCCTGAGGTGTTCACGACAGAGGAGGGGGCTGGCAGGATCCATGCGGTGGACGTCGCTGAGATCCGCTGGGACACCCTTGTGAGCTGGAACGTGCGGCATCCGACCATTGCCATCCTCCCCACGGGCAGGCCCGTGAAGGTCACCCACCCCAAGATCCACCTCATCCCGTACTCGGATCATTCATCCTTTTCGGAGTTGTGTGAGTTTGTGAGGTGGTTGAAACCCTGCTCGGTCATCCCGATTGTGAAAGACAGCACGTGCCACGCGTCCTTTCAGAAATACCTGAGTCCTGACCACCAGGCACCTCCTGGCCTTGGAATTCCGAAGCCTCTGCAGGTGTCTGTACAGCGGCAGAGCAAAACAAAGAAGCAGAAACCTGTGTGTCTTGTGAAAAGAGCTGCCCAGCACTCTGTGCCCAAAGGAGTTGTTTATGAGTCCCTAGAGGAACATACTGAGCAATCTGACGGGCTCAGGGCTCTTACGGCTCCTCAGCAGAACTCCCATGAGTCAGCTTTCTGCTCCCTTGAACATATTTGTTTTTATGACTGTGAGGAGGAAGAGCCGAGTAGAGAACAGCCAGGGGGTGCAATGGCAGCTGGCACTGCTGGGCAGTTGCTTCTTTCTGATGAGGACTTTCCAAGTGAACTTCCAAAGGAATATTTACTCACTCCTTTAAATGCCTTAAAGCAGGTTTCCTTTTACAAGGCAGTAGAAGATTTATTTAGCAGGTGGGAAGTGTCCTGAAAATTGCTTGTCTGTCAGGGCAAATACAGTTGATAATAATGATTCTGAAAGTCTTAAAACTGCATCCTGTTCTTTGTGTTCAAGTTTCTCATCACAAGAGAGAAGCTCAGCTATGAGAAATTGTTTTTGTTTCCTCTTATTAGAGGAAAAAGAGAATCTACAACTAGTTAGTAGATATCAGATTTTTCATTTATTTATTTTTATATCTTTGTCCGCATCTGTTGGGTCCCCATTCTGTATTCGGGCAATGTAGTCCCTCTGCTTCTGAACCTTTAATCTCTATTGCAGAGATTTATGTGTCTGTTGTGGCCAAAGCAACCACTGGGTTGGTTCAGGTTGAGCAGCAGAGGGCATGAGCTGCCTGCAGCCTAACTAATGGGCCTGCATGTGATGAAAGAAGCAACGCAGGGGAATCGGAGTCCTGCAGGTCTTATTCCACACATCTGTGCTGCCTCATTAACAAGTGTTTGTAAGGACTTCACTGTAAGATGTATTACAAATATTTATTAGGCAATGTTGCAAACTGGTGCTTAAAGAAATGTAGAAGATGAAGTGCCTTTCTTATTGCTGAAATACCTCCAGGCTGCGCTGCTTTTGAATCCTGCCAAGTGCAGCTGGATAAGGTTCTTCTCACCCAAAAGCACTACTTTCGTATTAATTGTAAATGCCTTTTTCAGGTCAGTGTCTGGAAAAGATAGGATTTGTGTGAGGTCTTGACTCCCTGGAATGGATTGCAGTATCCTCTTCAGTCTGCATGCTGACAGCTCTTGATGGCCAAGTGCTTCAGGTAGCTATCAGTGTTCTGCTGGATTCTGTGCTTGTTCTTATCAGCCAGTGGTAAATTGGATGGAGGACAATGAAACATCTGCTTGCTGGTGTAAAGTGCCAAGTCGTGGCTGCGTTATTTGGAAAGAATGCTGTGGCTAAATGGCAAAAAGCGTGCTCCATTAGCTTAGAGGTCAGGTGTTTCCTGCTCCAGGTGAACTGTACGGAGTCAGGGGGTGTCAGTAACATGGCAGTGCTGTGAGTATCTTCTGTGAAGTCTGAAAATTCTGGTTATCCTTGCAAAACTGCATTAGCAACATTTTACAGACTATTTCCCTGTGTGGTGATGGTGACAGCGAAGTAGAAATGGCCTCTAAGTACTTTTCTGGGAGCAACAGGCCAACTTATTGTTCAGCTTTTTCTAACCTTCTTATTTTAAACACAAAATGTTTCAAATGATTTAATCAGGATCGGAGTCTTCTGAATGTAGAGACGAGTAAAGTTGCTCCAAGACCAGTCAGCTGGATAGATTGAATTCCCCAAATCAAGTCAGACAAAGACATGTTTACTCTTCAAGTGAAGTTTGAGCTTGTGAAAAGCAAAGCTACCCGTAGATGCAGCAGCTGTAGCTGTTTAAAAACAAGGCTGTCTTGAGCAGTAGTCATAATGACAGCTGCAGTGGGTGTGCTTGGGATGCTGCTCTGCAAACACAAGTCCTCACTCACAGCAGAGCTGGGGAAGCACAGGCTTGGAACGTGGCCACATAAGCAGCTCCTCTTGTAGGGCTGCCTATAGACTCTGCCTGCCAGCTGCTAATGGGACACTGGAAATAATGGAGTAACTTTCTGCATTTTACTTTAGAAATGTACTTTTAAAGCAGTGGCGAAGGCAGCTCAAGCTTCTGGCTATGGTCTGTAAGCCCTGTTTTCCTTGTGAAAATTAAACTACAGAGCTTTGTCAGGTCAGCGTGAATGGAAGCACCTGCTTCTTTTATAACATCTGAGGCTGCCAGGGAAGTAATGGCCCTGTGTTTGCAGTAGTTTGTTACGGGGTGCCTTGGAGATGCAGGCTGTACTTCGGTGCTGTTGAAATGTAAGTGACTCACTTGACAGGCAGGTGAGTGAAACACTGCCTGCACTCTCAGATTCCACTGCTCTGCTTTCAGCTTGCAGCATCTCCACTGCTCTGAACTGATGCTTGCATTCTGAGTCCATTCTGCTCCATTTAGTGTCTCAGAGTCTGTCTCACACATTTTGCTGCTCATGGGATATGTAAGTTTTTTTTCTCTGTTATCAATCCTAAGTGGAGTAGAAAATCTCCAGGTGAAGCTGAGCAAAATGGAGTTGTCATGTTAATTCTTTGGAGTTGCAACTGTTCTTCAGAAAGGAGAGAAAGCAGCAAAGGCTTCAGAGGCTGGGGTTCTGCTCACCATGTCTGAGCATTCCAGTAGTTTGAATTGGCTTCTGTCACTGGAGCCTTAGTGCATCTAAGAGCTGGAGTGTCTCATGCACACCAGGCTCTGAATGTGCTGCTGCTAGCTCAGCTGCACAGAGCTGTGTCAACACTGCTACCACAGGTGTTCTGCTTGCAACATGACAGTGAGAAGCTGTAGCCAAGTGTTAGCTTGGCTATGCAGTATCCTGGGCTGTGTCTCACAGTCGTCCGTGCAGGAAAGTGGTGTTCAGACCAAAGCCCTCCCAAATCCATACTCACAGAGCATGTTTGAGCTGTTTATCTCTTGTTCCACAGTTCAGAACCAAGCCCCAGTGGGA